CAGAGACAGAGACAGAGACAAAGAGACAGAGACAGAGAGAGAGGGGGGGGGGAGAAAAAGAGATAGACAGAATTGATAAAAGAAAAGAAAAAGAAGGATGAAATCAAAAGTACACAGAGATAAAAAGAGACAGAAAGAGAGAGAGATGTCATGCTTGTGAGCACTTAGTGTACACAATTCTGTCTTCGGCTCAGACTACCAGTGGGGGCTCTCGTGGCCTAGAGGTTAAGGTGTTCGCCTCTCAATTGTCTCCTTTCACCTCCTTTCCTGCTCTCTAGCAATGTCCTATCGTCTGCTTTCTTGTCCTCTCTCTGCCCCCACCCCCTCACCTTCTTTGCCCCTTCCTCAGGGCTCCTCACTTTTTCTGCAGTCTTTTTACTGCTACTCCTTGGCTCCTTCTGTTTGGTGTCTTTCAGCCACACCCCTGATCTTCTGATAGGAAAGATTGACACCAAGCCTTCTCGGACAAAGGTGAGAAATCTAGGAGGTCCCGTGAGCAAATTGCGCATGTTAAAGATCCCTTGGTGATCTAAAATCGATAACAGTAGGCTTTAGCCGCCACCCGGCCAAAATTGAAAATGCCCTACCAACTAAAAAATGTTAGCTGTGTCCAGCGCGCTCATATGACCCCCCCCCCGGGTCATGGAAGGAGAAGAATGTAATCATTATTTTATCTCCTGAAATGCCCACGATTGACATGTTATGCTATTGTGTCAGTTTTATTCTCACTTTTGATAACTTGGACTTCTCAATCGCTTTCTTCACCCACTTTTTGTCCTGCTTTGGCCCATGACTTGGACACGTTTTCCCATGCCCGGTTGGGCCTACCGTTCAATGTACGTCTTAATGCTTGTCCTATTATTTTTGTCAGAGCCCGTGTATTCACGAGTAGTTCGTTTGAAAGGATAGAAGGTCCATATTGATTCTTGCTAGACCAAAAGACGAAATAATGATACAGTGGTCTCCGCCTCAGAACACTCTGCATAAAAGTCCGATCCACCCAAGAGCTCACTTTTTCTGTGCCACGGAAGTGTGTGCCTGAGAACCCGTTTAAAATAGATATTAAAGCCCGCTAGGAGATTACGATATTAAACAGTTCTGTATATAGTGTCTTGCATTGCCACACTTTGCCATAACAGATATAATGGGGACATATCTAATTAAATAGAAGTAGAAGGAAGCAGTAGGTGGAAAGAGATTTGAAAAGGAAGACGTGAGGGCTATACAGATGACTACATCGTCACACAGCGGAACACTTACAGAGAACGTTTAGGCACCTTCTTGAGCCGTGTTAAGCCGGATTATCAACTCACCACATATATTGTTAATTACTGAGTCAACACGCGGGCCGGTTTAAAATGCTCGGTTGCCGCATTTGGCCGGCGGGCCGTAATGTGCCCATGCTTGACCTAAACTATAAACAAGCAGTTCACCAAAGAGCAACGTATCTGCCAGTAAAATACTACTGATGCTTATTCAAACACAACAGTTTTGGGAAATTCACTCTGCTATCTTGATTTCATTAACGGGTGGATAAAATTAACAAGGATAATAGATTATGAGCAGGGAGAAAAGGCTTGTTGATAATATGCAAGACACGCAGCCCAAAAATCAGCTGACCTTCGTCATGGTGCCAGCGTATTGTGGTGTAAACCTACCGCAAGAACTAAAGCAGATAGACTGGTTCGTTTGTCTTAATCATAGCCTACTAGAAGCTCTTTGTGTGAAGGCATATGGTCCTTCTATCTATATAGACAAGTTCCGTACTTTGACAAGGAACATGACATCATTCAATATCCCAGTTTTCACTTCTCCTCACAACCTCACACTGTCAACATTTTGGTAAATTGTTCCCAGTTCATGATACACAGACGGAGTAACCAGCTAGACTATAATTTAGATCAATCAATGGGAAAACCAACAAGACAACAGTCTGCTTACAGAAAGAGGATTATTTGTGTTGAGTATAGATCTAAATGAAAAGCTGACGAATATTCAGAAAGGACACCCCTATCAGTGCCCTCCCCCCCCCCCCCCCCCTCTCCCTTTTTCCACCTTAAAAAGAAATCAATAAAGCAGGCAGCAACAATTCGACAAAGCAAAGAAGCAAAACGTCAATAATAAGACTAAACCTCCGTGGAAACTCGAGTAAAAAGCAAAACAAAAACAAAGCAGCCAAAAAAAAACAACAACAAAAAACCCAACAAAAAACGGGCTCATAAGCATGATTTTACGGCATACATAATGAATAGAGAAGTATAGTAATCTAAGACACTCGGGCGCAACGTGAAGGTCATAAGTCAACGAGAGAGACGTGCGGGGGTCTTGAGTAGGTAGGCAGACAGGATAAAGTAAACAAGAGACGTAAAAGTCACAATGTACCATCCTTCATAACCATCACAAGTAATTCAGAACCTACCTCGCGTTGAATCTGACGATAGAACTTGATAGATTAAACTCTTCTCGATAATACTGATTTTCCAAACACCGCAGATTGTATATCACAAGAATAGTTATATACTAGTGGAAATTCTGGAAGTGCTAAATCAAAGCCTGCACTGTTGTCACATGATACCCAAAAGTAGTCTCTGACACTCGAAGCAAAGAAAAAAACAGCAAGTGAAATGAGGCCCCTAGAGATTGAAGTAAAGAACAATCTTGGACTCTTCAAGTTGACACAGGCTGAAATATAGGACAGCATTATCCAGGCCGAAGGAGACAGGTTATCACACAGCTCCTCGTGATACAACTCATGGTCATATTGGATGTCCTCTCTCTCTTTCTTACTCTCTTTTACTCTCTCTCTCTCTCTATCTCTTTTACCCTCTCTTTTACCCCCCCCTCTCTCTCTCTCTCTCTCTCTCTCTCTCTCTCTCTCATGTTTCAAATGGTGTCTGGTCTGGCTTGGTGTTTTTCTTCTTTTTCTCACGTTACTAACTAGCATGTTTTTATATTCTTGGGAAGATGTTAACATCATGCTATTGTCGCTGAAAAACTGCTTTAAATACAAGTATAGGTCTCTCTCTCTAACTCTGTCTCTCTTTCATAACACACAAACACATACACACACACACACACACACGCACACACACACACAAACACAAACGCGCGCGCGCGCACACGCAGTTCAACCTCCTTTTCTCTAAAGCTTGTTTTAGTTTCTTATAAGTGGTTTGTTCGTTTTAGTAAGGTTTTACGGCTCTCGTACCTGCATACGGTCATATGAGCGCCAAGAGGTGGATGTCAAAAGAGAAGTCCAAACGGGGAATCAGGTTAACTCAGCTCACCTCTCTAGCCTCAACAACACAAAGTCTGCTTCGACTATCAAGGCACCCCGGAAATAGCAGTTCACAAGAGAGTGACAAATATACGAAAGAAATAGAGGGAAATGACGATGGTAAGGATGAGAAGAGAAAATGCAGCAGTCTCCCCAATGTTGTTCCGGCACAGTATCAGCATGATATTGATACTGCACTTAAGAACTTGTTAAAATCCCCCTTTGGAAATGGTCTAAAGACAACTTCAGTCAATAGCACTTCCCTAGTGGGGGTGGGGGGGGGTATAAGTGGTTTAAATGGCTTCACTAATACCAATCGTAGATAGGGGAAGAGGTCAAGGACAGCCTGACCGCTTGTGCCTTCATCCCACTTGCTTCACTTGTGAAGTCACAAACCCAAATGCTGGATTAGCCACCTCAAGGACAATACAGCCCTTGTCAACATAATAAGAAATCTCTGTCTCATGGGCTTACCTTAGTATCCCTTCACCGTAAGTTACCTTGATCCAGATGATCACAGATTAGATAAAAAGAGATAAAGGAGTAAAAATTGAGCAGAGTTCGAATTGTTCTCATTCTATAAGTAATATATTTTTTGTTACAATCAGTTCAGGGCTGTATCGGCAAGTTGGCTACTCCACTGACTTGTGTATCTAAAAGGGCATCACAAGAACAAAAAAAACCCAAGATGACAGAGATTTCCAACATTCGTCTTCCTCGTTTTGACTTTAAGCATAGGCATACTCTAGCCCCCTCATTTATTAAAATACACTCATTGAATACCGTTGCATCAACAAAATTGACTGCATGATTTAGAACATAATAAATAGAATCAAAGTCTGACAAATTAAAATATTATGATACGGTACTTAATGAAACTCAAAAGCAGAATTGTAATTCACTGATTTTTTATTAAAAAGCATAATTTCAAATCAAACATTCCTTAAACCTCCAGCAAAACGTGAGCAAAAATTTCATAAGAAAACATACTTATACTGTCACATCATCATTTCTTGTAATACTTCCCCATCAACTTACCAAGATTTTCCCAAATTCATCAAAGGCACAACATACCATTGTCAATCAGAATCAAGAAAACAATTCAGAAATAATAACTAATTGAACAAATTGGGCAAATGACCCTGAAGAGAGCAAATTATGCTTCTTCTTGAGGAAGCAGAATCAAATGCAAAAGAGAAAAAAAATGCAAAATCAATAAATCTGTTTTTTTCCTTTTTTTTTTTACTTGTGGAGATTTTAAATTCCACATCTCCATCAATACAATTTAAATCACTTGCGAAGAGTGGGCTTTAATCTTCCCTTTCAAGGGCAACCTTGGGTGAGAGGGATAAAATGTCCAAACAGAAAGGCAGAGAAACACAGATAAACACAGCCCTTCAATTGTTCCACAACTAGAGAACCCCAAAAAGTGTGTCGTACACAAAGAGAAGTCAATAAACCATTTTTCCAGCTCCTTGCACAACAATAAGTAGTAAATGAAGACACGTAACCTCTTTGCATATAACGGCTGCAGGGCTGAAATGATAACTTGCAAAAAATAAGTCGGCACTGATCATGGTTTTGAACATTGGAGTATATAAAACTACTCCCAATAAATTAGCCAATTAAAATAAACCTAGTCAAAACAATGGCAACATAAAATGATAAAACTAAAACACAGGCTGCTCTAAAGCAAATAACACAATCAACAGAAAACACAGGCTGCTCTAAAGCAAACAACACAATCAACAGAAAACACAGGGGAAAAATTGCAAACATTCCATATCCAATCAGCTGTAAGGTGAGTGAGCTGTGAATAAATCATAGCTGGATAAAAAGGCACATGCATAAAAATATACAGCTAGTCAAGCACAAATAACTCAAACACCGAAAGCTTGAATTCATGGGTAGCTCAAGTAATATGCCATTCCCTGTCTGAATGGATATATTTTCTTGGTATTGGCAACACTGTTTTCTCAAACACCAATACAAATGTGTCAATCAGCTCCTCTGAAAAAAGCTGTCCAAATTGTTCCTCACTATTGTTTCGAATTCAAATCTCCCGGCACGCATGAATGAAAAGAAGCACACCCATCATCATGTAGAGTATCAGATTACATGAGCCCACCAGGTTCACTGCCACACAGCGTAATGCATGACACTGATGGTGTTGAGTCACATCATTGTGCATTACATGTACCGGTAGTGCATAAGGTGTTAGAATCTCCAAGAATCAAGTCGTACGAGGGTGGTTGCTCGGAGGTGATCGAAAACAGACAGTGTCGCACAGTATTGGGCTGTATGGTGAGTGAATTGTACTTGTATCTGTGTGTATGTGTGTGTGATTTTTAAACATGAAGGTATGGACTGAGAAGTGATTACTCAAGGGGGAAGCTTGGCGTGCTCTGACCAGTGCTAGTTACATCATCATGATCCTGACCTGATGTACGAGCAATTTCCATTCCGTTTTTTAAAGTTATAAGGCTTATCAACACAACTCGCATCCTTTCTTTTATTTTGACACTGAACAAGGCACACACATTATCCATCCCTTTATCCTTTCATGGACGTTGTGCACTTTTCATGATTTTGACCACTAACTGTCACAGTAATTGTTTCCATAAATACTTCCCTTAATTTTTGTTCTTACTAGTTACTCAAAATTACAGATGTGTTGAACTCATTTATCAATTCTTAATGTGGTCAAGATATTTGAGGCTGAGTGTATAACCCTTAAACCAGAACGACATTTCGAAAAATTAAACGATAGAACATACCTAATGTTAAATTCAGTATGAAAAAGGTATCACATTGAAAAATAACGATAATCAAGTTACTGTACAAGTATTCCATTTTCTCCTCAAATACAAAGTGGAATGCATTTACCCAACATATATAGGAGCTAGTACTCAAGACCTTCCCTGATGACCATGTTTTCAAAAAACTTCAGATATCTCAAAAGCAATGAGGAGTGTACCAACTATATTTGTGAAAAAAAATGTTAAATTTTCCTATATATTTAACTCAGGAGAAATGCTAGCATCTCTTTATAATGCAACAAACTACAATAGTAAATACAAAAATTTGCATGTGGACCCTTTTCTCAGGCATGTACACATGTTACTGAGAACTTTATCACTTGAGTACAACTTTTTCCGCAGTGACCTTATATATGCAGAAACTGTCAGTTCTGGAGTGGCCCAGATATAATACCAGTTCAAATTTTTTCAAGTTTGTCAAAGAATTTCCTAAAGCCTCAGAAAGACCCACAGAGGAATTCAATCATCTGCGGCAGCCCTAATTTCCTTCTAATCTTAGGATTAGAAACTGTTGCAATACTAGAAAGCACATACTCTTACACACACAGACACACACACAGACAGACACACACACACACACACACACACACGTAAAACATACTCATTCACACATTAACGCAAACTCATACATTTGCATCCCCTTGATAATGATTTCACCCTCAACACATTTTACCACACCCTGAAAATAAAATCAATGAGCGAACAACAAAAGGAATACAATGCAACGCTGCACCAGGTCAGAGTAGATCGTAGAAATAGTCTAGCCCCTGTCCAACTTCCCACAATGAAATGCCGACGCCCATTTCTCTAGCCAAATCCAGTCGGGATTGGATAGATTTAAGTGTTGGGTAGTACATTTTGTAGTTGCCGTCAGAGCTCCTGTTGAGAAAAATGGAAACAGGGGAGGAGGGTTGAGTCAGAGCTTTCAGTATTCCATTCTTTTACTTCTGATAATATAAAGGAGAATATTTTCTGAAAGACAAGTGTAATATATGTGAAGTGTGGAAACAAAATGGGTTACTTCCCACAAACCATGAATGGAGACATAGGCTCAAAATCGACACTAGGGTCAAATTTGTAAATGTTCCAATGATACCATTTTCTTCAAGTTCAACTTTTTTAAAACATTCTGTGCTTATAAATTATACAAGCTTCACCTATAAATATGACATATCTATTTCCAAAGAGCTAAAACCCAAGAAGAAACTCATTTTGTCAGACGTCTTACATATCAGAAAAAAAGAAAAGTAAAGCAGTGAAGCCTTCGTATTATGTCAATCTCCAATAAGATTGAGTTTGCGTCTAACTCTTTCACAGCATACTGAAGGCTATTAAAGAGAAATAGGACCTATGAGTTTGTGTCTTTGCCTGAAACAATTGCAGAACCATCTTCTGTTCTAAAACATCTGAGTCGATGACTCATTTGAAGTCAATACACAGCAACTTCACATCCCTCTGACTCACTTTTGGGTTGCAACACACAGATCAAAGATAGTCTAAAAACATGAATCATTGTAGTTAATGCAGTTCAAGGAGTTTATAGCCTCACAATTAAATGGAACCCACAATGCATGCCCTGTGACTGTACTACACATTTATGTTCTTGCACAAAAACTCTATGACTCAGTGTCTCACCCGCATTGTTAAATAGAAATTCTTTTTACAATTTCACCTGCCACGTAACTTATCTCTGAAAAACGAACATCTTCTTTCAGTGACTAAGTTCACAGAACAACCATTCATGATTTCCCTATACATTTGACTTTCAAATAACAACCACCTCCATATCATGACCATGATAACTTTCAATAAGGCCCCAGGAATGAAAAGTCAAAAATGTAACTCAGCGCAAGGAAATAAATGCAGCACACAGTGAAAACAATAAAATATGAGCGGATAGTTTCATCCTCGTCAAGAAATCTGTGGTCACACCCCTGCTCTGCATACTAGTATTAGAAATGTGTTCACACAAAACTAATTCAGCAACAATGCATTTTGTTTAAATAAACCAAATAGTGCTTCCCCTAATAAACATATTCATGTACATCGTTAGTGTTGCAATGGAACCTCATTACCATGAAAAGTTAAATTATACAGGTGGAGAAAAAAACTAACTGTTTAGAGACTGGACCCTTTTTATATCTAAAAAGGCCCTGATTGTTTGGGGATGTTTGTCATTTACAATTAAGTTAGACAGGTTTATTTTATTTGATCTATGTCAAAATATTTTACAAAATGTTTCTCCAATTAACCTAACAAGGTCCTATCTCGACATCAACGATATAATCCAATCCTGTTCTTCAATTTAATCAGAGGGGCCTTTATTTCCCATACAAAATACAAACTATTATTCACCTCTATATGGCAGACATCTGCCCAAGACGATAACCTATTTAGAAACAAAAAGTAGTCTCTTTACACAGGTATTATCTTATATTACATGGAACTGGAACTAAATATTTTTCTCGCAATTTTCCACCAACTACTTACAAATATGTTGACCACTGGGCACTCTCCAGCAGTAACCTATTGAGAGCTGATTAAATGTTGCATTCATGGCCTCAAATACACACATTAAAAATGTATTCAACAGAAATCTATGGGTCTGGGGTACCTCAAAAGAGGCATGTTGCTTAATGTTACAAAATATCAGTATAAGCCTATCAGTTTGCACAAAACTGTCTATTTTAAGCCAGGGCTATCCATAAAAACATATGATGCATGTGAGTATGATGCCATTAACAAAAGTTTACCCAAACGGAGGCCAAAGCAACATTTCCAGGCTATACTGCAAGCAGTTTATATCTCAAAAGTTGCTAAAGGTCAGATTTGGTTTGCTTATCTATTTCTAACTTTTTTGTGGGTTTCTCCTACTTACTTGTATTCCACCACATGTTCAGCTGTCTGCTCATCCCACTTGAGAGATGGCTTAGCCTTTTTCAGGATTTCAATATACCTTAAAAAAAAAATGATATTAGTTGTATACACAAAAGTCCCTCAGTACAATCTCAACATATTGTACAATGAAAACCAAATGATAAAGCCTAAACCTATAATTATCATGAAAGAATAATGTGGGGCACTTATACTGCTTTGATTGAAAAAAAAAATATATCACTTTTTTTCCTACAAAAGAGATTGATAGTTAAGAGGCAGGGGATGAGGCGGATTGAGACAAGAGTGATATAAGCAGGGAGAAAAAAGAAAGACAGAAAAAGAAAGAAACAGAAAAAAACAGAAACTGAAAAACAGGGAGAATGAAAAGAACAGGGTGTAGAAGGAGAGGAGGGAGGGAAAAAATGGAAGAGACAGAGAAAAATATAGAATTTGAAGGAGACCAGAGAAAGAGGAAAGGGGAACACGGGGAGAGAGTGAGAGATAAAGAAAGCAGATAATAAGAAATGGAGAGGGTCAAAGTGGAAGATTGGGAGGAACAGAACAGGGTTAAGGAAAGGGAATGTAGAATTAGGAAAGAGAAACAAAAAAGAGAGAGAAAGAGAGAGAGAGAGAGAGAGAGAGAGAGAGAGAGAGAGAGAGAGAGAGAGAGAGAGAGAGAGAGAGAAAGACAGACAGACAGACAGACAGACAGACAGACAGACAGAATGAGAGAGGGAGAGAGAGAGAGAGAGAGAGAGAGAGAGAGAGAGAGAGAGAGAGAGAGAGAGAGAGAGAGAGAGAGAGAGAGAGACAGAGAGAGAGACAGACAGACAGACAGACAGACAGACAGACAGACAGACAGACAGACAGACAGACAGACAGACAGACAGACAGACAGAGACAGAGACAGAGACAAAGAGACAGAGACAGAGAGAGAGGGGGGGGGGAGAAAAAGAGAGAGACAGAATTGATAAAAGAAAAGAGAGAGAAGGATGAAATCAAAAGTATACAGAGATAAAAAGAGACAGAAAGAGAGAGAGATGTCATGCTTGTGAGCACTTAGTGTACACAATTCTGTCTTCGGCTCAGACTACCAGTGGGGGCTCTCGTGGCCTAGAGGTTAAGGTGTTCGCCTCTCAATTGTCTCCTTTCACCTCCTTTCCTGCTCTCTAGCAATGTCCTATCGTCTGCTTTCTTCTCCTCTCTCTGCCCCCACCCCCTCACCTTCTTTGCCCCTTCCTCAGGGCTCCTCACTTTTTCTGCAGTCTTTTTACTGCTACTCCTTGGCTCTTTCTTATTGCTGTCTTTCAGCCACACCCCTGATCTTCTGATAGGAAAGATTGACACCAAGCCTTCTCGGACAAAGGTGAGAAATCTAGGAGGTCCCGTGAGCAAATTGCGCATGTTAAAGATCCCTTGGTGATCTAAAATCGATAACAGTAGGCTTTAGCCGCCACCCGGCCAAAATTGAAAATGCCCTACCAACTAAAAAATGTTAGCTGTGTCCAGCGCGCTCATATGACTTTATGAAGTTACGATCGCCGTAAAACACTTACCTAAAGAAAAAAAGACTACCCGTCTCCACTGATGGCAACAAAAAAACTTACTGATTCCCTAGCACGTGATCACCACCACCTCCGGATTTGTATTTCAGTCCATAGAAGTTGAGCCCCATTAGCAACTTTTTTCTGACGGGTGAGTTACTGTTGGGGGCTAGGTTGAGGATGCAGTCTCTTACCCACTCAATAGGGCTGTTGGGGCCAGGCCTGTGCAATGAGCAAGCAATACTTATTATGTTGTAACACACATGCTGACAGACACTCTTACAGACACTCTCACAGACACTCTCACAGACACTCTCATAGATACACAAACATGGTCTGTGTCGAGAAAGAGAGTGTAGATTCTCACTAACAAGTTGGAGTGGTTGGGTGCTTGGACTGTGGTATGTAGATATATACGGAGTGTTTATTCTTACAAACACTCAAGCTCAAAAGTCAAACTATCACAGTCTTTTATCCAAACCACAGGGCAGGGCTGAAAAGATGAGGTCAGGGAAAAAAAATGAAAGCACAATACCTGTGTGTGCACACATACACACACACAAACACAATCACAGCCAAATACACACACACAAAGGCATCCCTATAATCCTCGTTCAGGTATTTAAAACACACAATTTTACACAAATTCCCAAAGCAAGCCAACAAAGAAGAGCTTTGTCACCTTATGTGGAACAACCAAAAGGCATCCATGCTTCCAACAGATGACACGTCTATTTATTCACTTCAAAATGCTGCTCTTTGTTATTTTGACTTTTGGAAAAGCCCATCAACATGATAACCATCATATGGTGCTTGAAAAAAGCATGAAAGACAGACAGAAACAACATAGGCATGGTAAAGAAAAGGGACCAACCCAGAATTTATTGTACTCTCTAACAACTCAATTGGTTCAATCCTATTGGCCTAATAAGTCACTTAGGTGTTACGACAGGGGAAAACACAATGGGCTGAAATTCCCCACATCGCCACTTAAAATGGATTTGTACTTACCGGCCAGGGTTAGAAAAGTCATAGGTCATCAAACTAAAACGGTCCACGTAGCTGCTCAGGGCATCTACATCAGTTTTGCTAATCATGCCATCGATATTCCTGATGAGAAAACAAACACAACAAAATACTAGGACTAAACTAAACCTGAGCCTCCACTATAGATAGCCTCAGGATAATTCCTTTAAAAATTAACATAAAGTAAGAGTGCACTTTAAAGAAGTAATCTCGCAAAGACTACAACGAGGAGAGTAAAGATATGTCTGGTGTTTGCTGAGTACTCCAAAATATATTAAAGAAAAAAAATCTTATATTATGTTTTAGTATAAAATACATAGAAAAACCAGCATAAATATTTTAAAAGACAAACTAAACCGCATTTCAGACAATTGCCAAGACAGACAAGCAAAATCACTGCATGCGAAATGAAATGTCTCCGCAAAACCCTTAACATCACAAGACGAGACAGGCAGAGAAATGAAGAAGTAAGAGCAGCTATCGGCACTGAGTCCTGCCTGCATTACATAGAAAGACAGAGGATAAAATGGTTTGACCACCTGTAATGCATGTTACCTGACCAGCCAGCCTTGATAGCCTACAACAACAAGCACTCAGGCCATAAAGGAAGAGGAAGGCCACGCAAAAGATGGATCGAGGATGTCAAGGAAACCCTAAGAAAACATAACATCACAACTAAAAGAGCTGCGGAGCTGGCCTACCATAGAAAACTGCATCTCCCCTCGACCCTTAACGGCAACAGAGGATGAAAAAGTAAAAGTAAAAGTAAAGTAAGTACCCACTGAATCACCAACCAGCCCCAAAATAGCATCTGTATAACAGGGTAACTGCAGGACAACATATCACAAAAAAATCAACATGCTTACTCCCAGAAGACCACTGCTCCACACCATGCCCTCAGAAAAGACACTTTCCACAAACCAGATATCAATATCTATAAGAGAGTATATCTGTTACAGACTGGTGTACTGACAACAGGATACCTGGAATCGTCTAACGGAACTAACACATTTTAGGAGACAGAAAAGAGGGCAAAATTACAGACTGTGCATCTAAAAAACTTTGATCACTTACTCAGTTTGGTAAATCTACAGGACCTGATTGTCCCTACTTCTTATTGATTCATAATGATTATATATCAATGAGCAAAAGTGTTGTTAAAAAACACATTCCAACATATTTAATTTTCTTCAGGGGAAGGTAATAACGACAAAAGTATGAAAGGAGCTCCATATATATAATCATTATTACAAAGGGAAAACATTTTTTTTCCCAACTTGCAGTGCCAATGGTAGTATCTTGAGAGCTACTTCTCCACCATTTGTATTCAACATGACAAAGGAAAACAAACAAATATCTGATTAGAGCTGAAACTAAGGGCCAATCGAGTTACTTTCTGTCAGAGTGGCAGTGACTCATGGCATTTCTGACAGTTTTCTCTGTACCAATTTACAGGTCCGTAACCCCAGAAAACATTGTGCAATGTCCCATATGCATATTATTTATCTCCATTACAGGCTAAGGACTACAGTTACAAAGTTTCCACTGACCTGCCATAGACTGGAGGAGGAATCACAAGAATGAGCTCTTTCTTAGCAGCATGGAACATCTCACCCATGTGGCTGATGAAGTGCACCAGTTCCCTGAGGTAAAACAATGGAAAAGCTTCCTTAACAACATAGTTTCTGAGGTTGACTTTACACTGGACTAGAGCTCTAAATCACTACATGTACTTCAAAGAAAGATACCTCAAATCAAAAACCTACTAACTATAGCCCATGAAACCGGGCAAAATGTCTGATGTCTATATTTTTATTTCACATAAGAGACAGATACTAGGTATAGACTACAGAAGTGTTTTTTTTTCTTACTACTCTACCGCCCCTGTGAATAATCACTGCACATTTCATTGACATGTAGAGAGTGGTGGCACTTTAAAATAATGATTGTGTAATGGAATGTAGGCATTTTAGAAGAAAATGTTATTTAACTCCCAAAAGTACTGGAACTATTGCTTATAACAAAGTTATGGCAATTTCACTTACCCTGGATGAAAAAGTCACATTGCTGAAAATCACAGCTACTTTTATTGTTCTACATCCCCATAGAGAAACTCACAGAACTAACTCAATCAGGGCATTGACCTTAAAACAAACGATACATCTTTCAATGTGCAGTTCTTAAAAGCAAATTTCAAAACTGGTAATTCTTCTTTGTTTTGCTTCAGTTCTGATTTTTGTGTCTGTGAAGCTGATGCTAGCAGTATCCAGATGTGCATGTTTTACGGTTGATAATAAAACAGCAGGGTGTTTTTTTCTCTGACCACCACAAAAAAGTTATAACAACCCTTACAACATATCTTTAACAACAGCATCAATCACCCTCTGATTTTCTCTAAAAGCATTGTTCATTGCATCTAAATCATACTCTTAAAACACTAACGTAATATTCTTCTCCTCATCAGCATCATCTTGCAAGATCTCATTGACAACATCTTCGACATGAAACAAGCATCTGGAAACAGCCAATTTGACTAAAAATAAATCCATGTATTGTGCAAATTGCCATAATAAATCATTTCAGAAAATAAACCCACATTCAACCAAATGAGAGTTAAAGTTAAATGATCAAAGGTCACACTTTTCACAAATGGGTTCATTACCCTGACCTGTTCAGCTTGCCCCTTTTGACTGTACGTAAAAACTGGCAGGACGTGGTCATGCAATGTATTATTAACTGGGTGTGGCCCATCGAATGCTGAACACCAGTGCCTCCCGATGCAGTCAAGCATTTTCTCCCTTGGTTGGAAATTCTATTCCATTTTAATTTTACCTCGAATAACAAGCAGCTTCACCATAATCATTCACATAAATTACATCTGTGTTCGTTATAAGTAAAAGGACTATCACCCTATCAAATTCCATGTAAACAAACGGTACTGTTTTGACAACACAAGAAGAAGATACTGAAGACACATAAAAGACAAGGACTAGAGGGAAAGTTTTTGTTCAAATGATGAGAGGCACTTTGAATCAATAACAGGCTGAGAAGAAGTAAAAATATGAAATTGTATGAAACATCTTGACAAACTACTCACTTGCGTTTCTGTCCTCCTAACTGCGACCATATCTCCACCACAATCCCGGGCCATTTGTACTCCTAGATAGAAAGAATATTAAAAGAAAAGTCACAGAGGCCATTAAACAAAAAATTAGGGTCGGAGTTGTCAGTTCAGAAACACAATTTCTCCATTTCAGTTGTTAGTTTTGAGCGAGGGAGCCGGACATGAATCAGACAATCACGCTCCCCAGGAATAGATAGAATGAAAGAAACAGTGATGAGTGGATGAAAAGGGCCCACAAACCATACTCAGAACTGGGAGTGATAAAATCTGTTCAACCATAAAGGCTGCATAAAGTTGATGTTATTTTGACTTTACTTCAAAAAACCAAAAAAATCTAACACTCCAGCTCACATGATAAGGGAGACTACTCATGAAACTAAATAGGCTGGACAACACAAGAGGCAATAAGACTTTTTTAAAGTGACAAACACCTACAAAGCAAACTGGAACAGAAAAAAAGTTAAAACAATGACTCAATCAACACATTATATTTGTCGAAAGGTGAAAAAACCTACGGCTACTGAAGCACAGGATACTACGAAATAAAAAGCAGAGTAAATTCCAATGAGGCACTTCACTCAGTGAACTTAAACATCAAACGAAAAAACTACCTTTGCTGAATTTTCGCTTTTAAATATTCATGCATTCATAGTTTTATTTTTCAGATGCATAAAACTCTACCAGTGTAAACGCTGTCATGGATAAACAGAAAATTAGTGTTCTAGAAAGAAGCAAAGACCAGACTAGGATAACAGTAACACATAAAATATGTAGAAAGAGCAAAACCACATTATGTCCAAGCTTCCTCGACAAAAAAAATATTACATGCAAAACATTTTCAGCAGTGCTTTCACCTTGACTACTGAACAACATTCAAAAAGTAACATTTTTTTCTGTTTCACTGTTTGGTTTCAGGGCCAGCAGATGATAAATTCAGTAACTCACAAAGTAACTGGTGTTTGAGTACACATCTGGTATTGTTATTCAAATGCCTATTCAGACAGCAACATGCTGGGTGTTGATGTACTTTCAAACATTCATGTAAGAGAACTTTCAATTTAGGTTTGTGATTACTTTGAAACTACACAGGTGGTCAGCACATGCCTGCACTTCTCTCAAAGTATTTACAACCTGCATAGCATGCTCATCACTAGTCTCAACTATTTCTTCATGCTTAAAAGAATTGGAACCTGATCCCATCCTGCCAATCTTCACACAAGGGGTGTAAAACCCAGAGAGAAAAAGCCAACAGAGGTGCAACACCCATGCCATTACAAAGAGCATGTAGATTCAACACATCACATTATAGTTAAAAGTGCAGCTTCATGAAAATATAGGGCAAAAATCTGTTTACTTTGATAGTCGCCAGAATCGTTTCAATGCAGTCCTCTATGCTGTCCTCATCTTCAAACAAACTATTGAAGTCCTCCAAACTCCAGCCATCAAATAGAAGTCTTGGGACTGAAAATTATAAAACACAAATTGAATGTCTTGTAATCTTGAGATGAGAAGCTAGCATCTTCTTTCTTTACTACATTTATCATCTCACAACACCATGCGGCTACCCTTGGCAGAATACTTAGTTTCTCCGATCAGCAATATTACCACACTAATCTGAGCAAAGGTGAAACTGATATAAAGCTTTTTTCTTTTCGCTTCTGGAACTACAAAGTAAAGGTAAACAATAATTGTGTAACGTTCCAATTCACACATCCAGGAACAGATACTTTTTTGTTTCTCTACATATGCAGCCAAAAATTAGCTCAAAATAATTCTTGCTGAATGGTGGCGCTGTACAGTTCAATAATAAGAAAAAATGCACTCAGTGAGACAGACGACACAAGAAGGATCTGCTGGGTTTTTCCCCCAATTGCAGCAAAGTGCATCCCAGTAGGCAGAGTTTACAAAGATAAAAGACCATAAATATATAAAAACTTACCAAGGAAGTCATTAAAAAAAAAAACCTACTTAAAAACATGACACTGACACTCAAAAAACGTACTGACGAAAAAAAAATCTCATATGATTTTGAGAGAATTCTAATTCCCTCTTTCAAGCATTATAACATTATGGTCAATGTCACTGTCGACATGACACTCATCAACCACAAATTACCCATGCGTGTCTTTCGGCCTTGAACAACAGCTGAAATCCAGCCTGTGTAGAAAAAAAAGATTTTTTTAAAACGTTAAAATATCTCACTGAGGTATAAAACCATTACTAAAAACCAGTACTCAAAACAAAAGGAATGACCAAGGACAATTTAGAATAAAATCAATTTTTTATGGGTACTTACAGCTTCATTTTATGAGTCTTATAAAACAAAAAGTACTCATCCAGAAAACAAATCATTTCTAAAAATTCAAGATGTTAAATTCGATTAGCAGAACCTCAATATAGAACTAGCAGCAGACCAAATGACGTTAGAGAAAAGAGCAGCTGGATTAATAACAACATCAGGACTCTGACATAAAAATAAGTTGCTTGTCTCTGATGCCAAAGCACCAAGTCAAAGTCTTGAGTTCATGATCAGCAAACAACTTGTCTTTATTCCATACATTTTTGCACTCTTAATTTCAGAATAGGGAGAATCACATACCTCAACATTTCCGATGAGGATAATAAAACTAGAGGTACCATTGACCATTTCAATAACAACTTGAAAGTTGAAAGTTATAGAGAAGAAGGCTTGAAAAGGCTGACTGCAAGGAATAAATTCTAAATCCCTTCCCAAAACAAAAGAACCTCAAAATAGAATAAATTAATAATCAAGAGAATTTCTGAAAATATTCTACATGGAAGAACGGCAGTAAGCGTAAATATTTGTAATTTTGTTGTGCTGTCAAAGAGTTGAGGGTTGACTATCCCTGAGAAGTAGTAGTCGAGGAGGAGGAGGAGGAGGAGGAGGAGGAGGAGGAGAAGGAGAAGAAGAAGAAGGAGAAGAAGAAGAAGAAGAAGAAGAAGAAGAAGGGGAGGAGGAGGATGAGCAGGAGGAAATGAAGAAGAAGGAGCAGAGGAAGATGAGGAATGACAGCAGGACCTCCATAAAACAATGAGAAAATCTTACCTTTATCCACGTCATGTGTGCCCTGAATGTGATAGGCACCTCCTGGGTGTCGCTTCACCTGCAACCAGACTGGAGACACATACTGGAACTTTGACCCAAACAGCTTAGCTACATCATAGCCATGGTTGTTCCACTGTGGACACACAGAACAATCAGTAGTGTCGACAAGAATAACCCTGCCACTGCTATGAGTGACATACAACAGTCATGACATGATTGCTTGAGAATGGAGCTGGGATGATGGTATTTACAGAATGCATTCTGATCCCAAAAAATGATTTGATTACTGAGCCTTCAATGATTTTCACCATCAAAGACAGTTCTTATGTGAATATTTACAGATGGTGTAAACACAAAGTAGCCCACTAAGAGTAGGAAATATGTCTAAGTGATCATACCTAAAAAAAAAAAAAACAGGCGAGGTCAACCCTTTCAGACACTAAACAGTATGCAAGACCAAATCAAGTTAGAATATTTAAGCAACTCCTTAAAAAATGTTCAAAGCATTTCCAAACCACAAGCTCTCCACTCTATAAGAATAAGACCAAGCACTCAACAAGGATAAACCAAAACAAAAAAATGGGCTAATGGATTATGAGGGTCACACGCTTACCTCACCAGCAGCTGAAAATGTGTTGCCTATTAGTCAACAGTGGGAGGGGTCAACGCAACATGATTGGTTGGAGGGACTACCTAACAAGAATGACAGGTGATTGGATATGACGGCTCGCACAGAACGCCCGCGGCAAATGACAGAATTTATGACAAAACGTAATGGAGTCACTGAGGTGGCCATCTAAGACAGGCGTTTTTTGTTTGGTGTGATAGGGGTTGTGTATTAAAATATGGTGGCTGCGGTGGCATTGGACAGGTGACCGTTTTACACAGTGAAATTATTAAGAAAAAAAGCAAGGGGGAAAATGGAAAGTGGCCGTTTGTACAGATGGCCGTATTATAGAGTTAGCCCTCATGGCAGGTTCGACTGTATATCCGATTTCCTGTAAACACATGTTTAGTCAAGATTAATTTACCACGCCTTATCAAAAATGTAATATGCCTCATTGGGCAAATTGTAAAAAGGCAAACCGCTATCAATTAATAGCTTACCGGGGTCACATAAGCCAGGATCTCTCCTTCGAAATTTTTCACCTCTCGGTCTCGATCAAAATATAAAGAATGTTCTTTGATGATGTCTTTGGCTTTGGGCGTGATACTGACAAGGCCCCTGTCAACAACATTCTTGTCAGCAACTTCAACCTGTTTCACCGAGACCAATGAATGAAAGACAAAGGACAGAACGGTTATTAGAGTTAAAGACAAAATAAACAAACAAATGACTCAGACTCCACAAAGATTAATTCCTAGCAAATTAAAATTAAAATTGGTGTATACAATATTTCTTGGATAAGTTACTGGGCAGCAAGTCAGAGAGAAATGTAGTGGCAAATCTGGCTCATACATTACAGTCACATCCCACTACACTGCCAACCTTGGGATATAAGTTGTGATTTAAGTCATAAACGTCGGCAGTTAAAACAGTTCATAATTAATCATAAAACTGGCAGGTAGATAATCTGAGACAGGAATGTAACCTTTTTTATCATGCCTTTGAAGCAGTAAAGAAATTTGAATATTGATGCTCAGCTGACAAGAGTTGATACAGCACAAACTAGTACCTTCGTTTCTTTTTTCTTCTTTCCTCTGTCACTCTTCGATAAAGTTCCTTCTGCAGGGGGCAGCAGGAACTGAAAGGACAATGCTACTGTACAAATCCAGACGGTTGGTAATTCAAAGTGCATGATGTTCTCTGAAACAAAGGTAGATTTAACAAGGTGCATTTATCCTTCAAGGGAGAACGAAAAGAGAAAGGCGAAATAATATCTAGTGCAGAACTATGGATGCACAGAACAGGAGAACTGGATATTATAATATAGTTGGAGATACTGGTCCACGATCATCATTACTGGAGAGTTAGTTGAATGGCCTAGCTATGGTCTAAATCCAATGAAAGAAAATAAGATGGAACCCATTCAGATATGAGGTAGGAAGAAGGCGGTGGCGATGGAATGATATCCACAGGGTAAAAGATCAAGGGGAAGACCGCGTGGAACCTGGAGAAGAATTACAGAAATTGATGTACAGAAAAGTGAGAAGACAAGGAATGACATCAAGAGGCTAGCCCAAGATAGAAAAAAAGTGGAAAAATGGTTGTCCGCGGCCTATACCCTGGAGCAGGGTGAGAAAGGCAATGATGAGAGTCTAAATGCTCCACAAAGGGAGCAAAGGCAGAAATAATCATTCATAATACACACGACTTCATTTTGCTGAATGGTTCTCAGATTTATTTATGGCCAGCTCTATTCGGACTCGAGTGCAATTAGATTTTTTTAATCTATTCGAGTCCAAATATAATATGGGTTTTATCTATTCAGACTCGGGTTCGAAGAAATGTTTTATTTATTCGGACTCAGCTTCAAAGTGAGTTATGTGAGTGTAAGGAGGTTACATACTGTCGTCGCCGGATTTTACGTAAAACCAGAATTAGAACAAGAATTACCTACTAGGGCTGTGTAATTGTGTCAAAAGTCAAAAGACTGCACTCTCATTGCCCAATGGTAGAGTCTACGTGCACGGTAACCAAACAACTCAGGGTCTTTCCACCACCACTACAGCATCATCATTACTTCCACCACCATTTGCCTTTCCACATGTCTAATTTCATTTTGTTGTGTGTTATAGTTTTTCTGTAATCAACTTTTTAAAAATCACATCGCACGACATGGACAGCCGTGGCCTCTTCCCAACACCTCTCCCCCCAGCAAGCCGAGAGTGCGTGATCGCTACGCGCAGTCTTATAGGTCGACATGATTAACTTTGCCACCGGCAAGGTCAACTCATCTAGGTTGCTCTGATGATGTAGGGAGGGCCAGTTTAGGTAGATCTAGTAACTGGATATTAAAGCTCATGTCTTGATTGTTATCATTATAATCAAGAAAAATTTCATAAATGCGGGAAATATTCAAATTAGGAACAGGGGTCGGAAGTCGGAGCAGGCGTCATGCTGGAATCAATTTAAAGTCAGGACATAATTTTTGTCTATTCGGACTTGAGTCAAAAAAGTCACTCCATTTATTTATAATATAGATCTAAAATCAATTATTTATTTAAGCACAACTATGATTTCATCCTAGATCTATAGACCAAGGACTACCTTCAACAACTCATGTGAGAAAAAGTACAGCATACGATGATACAGTCAGAGACCATATCATGAAGATAACTTTTAGGCAGACGGGCTGCGAGAACCTATGATATACCCGCGCTTGAAGATTCTATCTGGAATGAAGTCTAGATCTAAATTTTGAAAGTGAAATAAATAGGCCTACCTCACCTGATTTCAGCTTTTAAGTTCAAAATCTAGACTTCATTCCAGATAGAATCTTCAAGCACAGGTAGATCCATGTCATGTTCTCGACAGACATGTCACTGAAAACAAAAAGTTGAAGCCAACAGGCAAGACGTAAACTAAGCTTGCACTTGCCATGCAAATCAATAGAGATCTTGCAATATCAGATCTAATAGATCTAGAGTCTAGATCAGTGGTTTTCAAAGTGGGCGCTACCGCCCCTGGGGGGCGGTGGCGACAGTTTGGGGGGCGCTGTGGCAAAATTGGGCGATTGGGGGCTGTGGTGGGCGTTAAGGGGGCTGTGTGAAATTTTCATGAAATGCAACATAAAAAATGGTGAAGGGAAAGAAGCCACATAAAAAACAAAAACAAAAATTGATAACTTAGACATAGTTTACAATACTATTTATTACTAAGAACTTTCTTTCCCAGCACTCAAAGTCAAAGCCCATATAAAGATGATTCATCCCGGCAAATCTGACAACTATCTGGCATTCTTCAAAACTGTAAAGATCAATTTTCAGAAATAAAAATCAATTAAATAGATGTTTGCAGCCGACGTTGATCAAGCTGATGAAGACTTACGAGCTACTTATAATTATCTCTGCTAATTGCAAAGGCAGGCAAACCACGTACTCTCGGTGAGGACCTCATTACCTGCGATAAGAGAGGTGGTAAGAACAGTCCTGCACCGTGCCCCGGAGCCTGTGTTGAAAGTTCTTGCCACTAAGTGACACTACCGTTCAAAGACGTATGGATGGGATGTCAGCAAAGGTAAAGGAATCATTGTGCAAAATGCTTAAAGGACGTGAGTTCAGCCTTCAACTAGATATCGGTTCATAGAGGGTGAGGTAAATAATGCAAGAATTGTTATTTGCGAAAATGTTGAAACAAAAGTCGAGTCTATTTTAAAAGAAAAGTGGTCCAAGAATTTTTCGAGGAGAAACAGATTCCTCCGGCCTATAAAGTTGCCTGTGCAACAAAAGGAGCACCGTCGATGACCAGTCTGTACCGTAGATTTATGAGCTTCTTGAAGAAATCAGTCCCTTGAGTACTAACTGTTCGCTGTGTCATTCACAGACAGAATTTGGTGACAAAAAACCTGAATGAAAGTCTGCATGACACACTGGCCATTGTCATCAAGTGTGTGAACGAGATCAACTTCCATGCTTTGAACTCGAGATTATTCCAACAGCTGTGCACTGAAAATGACGAGAACCTTCAATTCTTTCTTTTGCACACTAAAGTCCGGTGGCTCTCAAAAGGAAACTGTTTAACATGATTATTGTTGGGCCTGTTTGACTCTGTGCTGGAGCTTTTTTCAAGAAACAGACAGTGATCTCTGCAATAAACTGAAAGAACACAAGAACAACATTTCGTTCCTCACAGATCGTTTCACAAAGTTCAACCAGTTCAACTTGCAGCTGCACGGGGATGACACCAACCCGATCAAGGCAAAATCAATGATTTCGTCATTCTTGTCGAAATTGGAATTGTCTCACCGAAACATTGGCAGAAGAGAATTTGCTCAGTTTCCTAGCTTGACGGAGACACTGAAAGAAGGGCAGGTTTCTGGCGAGGAACTAGAAATAGAAACCAACCACCTCAGAGATTTGCATGCTGATATGATCGCGAAGACAAGGTTTACTGATGTCTTTTAACAGGAAATTCCAGACTGGGTACTGGACCCACTCAATACTTGAACAGAGGGTGACTTGACAGTGGCAATTGAAGAAGAGCTGACAGTGAAAAGTGACTTTGAAATCAAACCATTGTTCAAAAAGTCGTACCAGTCATTCTGGTTGAAAACTATTGTGCAAAACAAATATCCCTCCCTGTGGGAAAATATCAAGTAGTTGTTCTCTGCTTTTCCTACCAGTCTAGTAGAAAGGGGATTCTGTGCAGTGACAAGGTTGCTGACGAAGCAGAGGAAAAAAATAAGGATCACAGAGCGGGGCGATTAGCATACTATGCTACTGACCAATCTGAAACCTGATGTTGAAAAGTTGGTTTCGTCTCACCAGGTCCGTACTTCCCATTAGGGCAGTGTCAATGACTTATTTGTATATGTTTACTCCGTACTTTATCCTTGCTTGACACCTGAATACGTCTTTTCTTTTTTGGCTTTTCTTTCTTCTTTTTCTATTAAAGCAAAATACTCCCTTGTTTAATAGAGTTTGTTATGTGCATATCCTGCCACTGCTGATGAAACTGAAGATGATGATGACGGCGATGATTACGATGATGGTGATAATTACAGACTAAGATCCATGCATACTTTTCTTACATGTGGTTTCTCACATTTGAATAGCTTAATAATATTTTAATGTTCTACAATGGAGATATAAACAAATCTCAGGCAACTTTATTGCAGCACCTTGATGGGAGAAAACGTTTCATAAAAATAATGTCAATCTGTTTTCAAACTAATGATCGCTATTTTGGGTTCTTTTATTTTAGTGTTTTGCTTCTGTAAATGTCATAATTTTAAATACATGTTTTTTTTATTGATGTTAACAACACTGGTCGTTTAATACCGATGACACATAAGCATAAAATAACTGTACTTTGTTCTCAGTGCCCTTGCATAACATTGAAGAAAAAATGTGTTTTATTACCTCTAGTACACACGCTTAACTTAAGACTCTGTAAGGATGGTGATTTTTGACCCAACTAATATTCAGAACCAAATCATTACAATTTTGGCACTTTATTTTTTACCCTACTTTTTGAGCTCTCTCTTTATTTGTGATTGTTATATATTATGCATGTCGTTATGTCGTACTGATGGTTGGGGCGGAGTAGGGGGCGCTGGGACTCGGCTGGGTGAAAAAGGGGCGATGGGCGAAAAAAGTTTGAAAACCACTGGTCTAGATCTATCATCTAGACATAAAACTAGGCCTAGGCCCATATACATGCCGTTAAATGTAGAAGACGCATCTTTCTGATTAGCTGCTAATTTTAGTAATGTGATGTCATCACTTCCTGGGAAACCCACAGACTATTTTAAGAAGGCAGTGGAGGTACCGCATGGAATGATGTGTTTTCGGTAACATTTCGTATTTCCTAGATCTAAGTACTTGGACATGATGGAAGATCATGATCGCTTAGATCTAGATCGCTGATGCTCAGAACAGTAAGACTAGGAACGCTGATGCTTGAAATTGAAACATGGTAAACGCAAAGACAATAAACCGCACGAAAATTGCCGTAAAGACACAGGAGGATTAGATCTAGATACCCCCCCCCCCTTCTCCTGCAGTCTTCACCACTAATATGTTATACATTAAAAAAACAAACTACAAAGCAACAAATTATAATTTATATATGGGACAAACTGTTGGTCAGTCGGGAGGAGGAGAAGAGAAAAAAATAACTGTCCGGGACCAGGATCGACCCACTCATAAAATCACTGCATAACTTCAAACGCAGACGCGCTGTCTATTCGGCCATCAGAACTTCCGACAGCGAGAGGTAGATTAAGCTTGATATACATAAACACTTCCATCTTTGGTGTCATGCGGTTGGCTATACTTATGTCCTCATGTGATCGAAGGGGTATCCTGGTCTGACGTCAAACAAGATGGGCGCCTTTTACCTAAAAACAGTTTGCGTCACTCTATGTTCAAACGCATGTTAGGCCCATGGCTTACTCACAAGGAAAAGAACAAAGGCTAGCTCAATTCGGACTCGAGCCCGAATATAATTTGTATCTATTCAGACTCGAGTCCGAATATGGGTTTTATCTATTCGGACTATGGTCCAAAAAAAAGGTTTTTATTTATGGGAGTGTATACAGACCCGGTAACCGGGAACAAAGTCACAAAGTATACAGACCCGGTAGCGGAACTCTTTTGTGATTTCGGAACATTTCAGCGCCCTCTTGGCTCAAGGTAGTGAGAATTCTGTGGGGTAGACCTAGATTCTTCTAGATCTATGGCCTAGGTCTCGATCTAGACAGACAAACATAAATCATTGATCTAGTTTCGAGGTTTGTCTAGATCAAGATCTAGATCTAAATGAAAATTGCGGATGTCTTTTTTCCTCCATTTTTGGAGTTAGAGTTGGAGGAATCACAATTTGAAAAAAATAAAAATGTAATTTTCAATCGAGCAGTCACGCTCTCTATTTCTCTCTCTCTCTCTCTCACTCACTCTCTCTCTCACTCACTCTCTCTCTCCTCTGTATCTGTGTATCGCTCGCTTTCTCTTTTTCTTTGC